CCACGCTGCGCCTGGGCTGGGACTGGTCCCGCCGGCGCAGGGTAGCAGGAAACTCTCTGCACACTCACCGGACCTGGGCTAGGACTGGGTCTCTTAATGTTTCTTTTAAAATGACATTCCATTCATTAAGCAGTAAGCATTATTAATTTGCAAAGAACTTAAAATCAGTAGCATATATCTTTAATCTTTTTTTTTTTTTTTTTTACGGAACCAGGGATTGAACTCAGGCCCCTGCACTTGCCAGACAAGCGCTTATTCCACTCAGCCATCTCTCTGGTCCCTTTAATCTTATTTAGAGGTTAAATCAAGAATTAAAATTGCATTGCTACATGTATATAGAGTGTAAGAATGTTCCTTACATAGGTACTGTTGAATTTGCATATTTTTCTTTTGTTGCTGACCTTCCTTGGAGGACACTTTCTTTTGCAACCAGGCAATGCCTTCTGTAGAATGTCCTCAAATCAGTCTCTGTTGGAGGGGAACTTTAGTAGCCTGAGCATTTTATTTTGTACTTTTCCTCACTGAAAATTTAAGATGTTTTTGCCAGTAAAGAATTTGTGGTTCTGAGTTTCTGTTAGCATAATGACTGTTTTTCTGTTGTCTTCATGGTGAACTCTTTAATACATTACACACTAATGTATACATGTGTATATAAATTTCACGTTTAAGTGTTTCTGAATAGAAATGGTAGAGGCATGAGAAATTATAACTTCAATTATTACCTCATTGGATCTTAAAGTGCCAAAGTCAAATTAAAAGTGATTCTCTTTAATCTTCCAACAATTACTTACCAAGCCATCTACTATATACCCTACATTGTTGTAGATGGTAACAGGCATTTCTAAATAACATGTTGAATAAAGTATACTGTTTTTTTTTTTGTTTTGTTTTGTTTTATTTTTTCTTTTTTGAAACCGGGGATTGAACTCACACCCTTGCACTTGCCAGGGAAGCACTTATTCTATTGAGTCATCTCCCCGGCAAGAATACTGTTCTTAAGTAAAATAAATTTACTTTTTTTGAGCACTGAGAAATTAATATAGTAGATTTATAGATTTTTATTTCTGGCATTTTTATCTCAAAGGGAAACAATTTCAAATGTATTTATGTTAGAATTATCTCAGTATAGAGTAACTAAAAAACAAAAACTGAATAAATCATTTTATAATGTTGATTTCTTAATGATTAAGAACTGATAAAATTCATCCCAAACTGAACACAACTAACCTCGTAATCCCTATGTAGGCCACTTCTTGCTTTGTGTAATTGTTCACAAGAGAAATTCCAACATCTTGTAATGCCAGCGTAATTTCTTGCTCTGCTAACTCTGCTTTCTCACTTTCATATGTTGCTTTAAACACCTTTGAATCTTCAGTGAATAATATAATACGTTGCAGGCCTTCAAAGAATGAAACTAAAAAAATTGTCTTCTTTCCTAAATTTATAGCTGTCATCATATCCTAGAAGAAAACCACCAAAAAACCAAAAAGTATTAAGAGTTTGGTCCTAATCAACATGAAGTCTAGAATCCATATTTACAAAAAGAAAATATATTAATATTAATAGCAACTATTTTATACAGCTGAGCAGGCAACTAAACTTATATTTGTATGATTCTTGGAAATGTGAAGTAATCACTGACTTTTAATTATAGATCAATGACAAATAGCTAAATTAATGTTTGTATAATAACACTTGGGCATTTATTTCGATGGACTCTAACATTATTTAGTAACATTATTTTTAAGTTAGTAATCAGGAAGACATGTCAATTGTTTAACTGCTTTAATGTGTTACTACAATCTTACAAGTTGTTTTTTTCTTTTTGTGGCAATGGGATCAACCTGGAACCATGTGCTTGCCAGGCAGGCGCTTATACACTATATCCCTGGCCTTAGTGAAATATAATTAAATAATCTTCCTTTATAGGTTCTACCAGGAACAAATTCTTATTTTCTTTGCTTCATTCTAAGTTTATAGAAAGACACTATCCGTTTAAAAGTGTTTCACAAACTTGGTAGGTGGTGCATATCTGTACTCTCAGCACTCTGGGAGGCAGAGAAAAGAGAATCTTACATTTGACCATAGCCTGGGCAATTTACTTAATAAGACCCCATCTTAATAAGACCCCATCACTATTCCTTTCAGTACTAAAGATGAAGTCCTAGGTTTCATCTTTAGTACTGAAAGAAATAGAGAAAAGAGAAAAAAGGAAAGGAGAAGAAAGAGAAAAAGTTATTTCAGTCTGAAATTCTTATTGCCTTATATAATTGAATGAAGATAAAAAAGAAAATCTGATGTCTCAGTTACATGCTGTACAAACCAGTTGATATTCATAACTGGTTAGTTAAGCAGAAAGCCTTTCCACAGTCACAGTATCAGGGTTTTGAAGTTCAACGATAAGTTACATGCAGAAAATGCCAGTAATTAAAGAGTCTACCATGAAGACAACAGAAAAACACTGTCAGTATGCTAACAGAAACTCAGAACCACAAATTCTTTACTGGCAAAAACATCTTAAATTTTCAGTGAGGAAAAGTATACAAAATAAAATGCTCAGGCTACTGAAGTTCACCTCCAACAGGCACTGACTTGAGGATATTCTGCAGAGAGCATTGCCTGGTAGCAAAAGAAAGTGTCCCCTAAGGAAGGTCAGCAAAAAAGAAAAATATGCAAACTGAACAGCACCTATGTAAAGAAAATCAATTGTAAAATTGATTGTATATTATATATTATAAAATTCAACACCCAGTTGCTATAAAAACTCTGAACAAAGATTAAAGAAGTTCTTCGATTTGTTATCCAATTTACTGAAGCTCATACATAACTGTGATCCATTGGAAACATCAAATTTAAGATCAGGACACTGAGGTAAAAACAAACCTGGAATCATCACTTTTATTCAATGATACATAAAGATCCTTGCCAGATGAATAAGGATAAAGGAAAAAGAAAGGAATGAACAAAAATAAAGCTTTTATTATGTGTGTTGTGACTGTCTACACAGAAAAAGGGACAATTTAACTTCTTTCCATTTTAGATGTCCTTTATTATGCCCTGGCCTAGGACGTCCAGTACAATGCTGAACAGGTGAAAGAAGGAATTCTTGTATTGTTCCTGATCTCTGAGGAAAAGGTCTTAACTTTTTTCTGCTCTGTGGGGTTGTCATATCCAACTTTTATTATAGTGTAACCTCTTTACACTTACTTTTTGCCATAAAGGGTTGTTTTGTCAAATGCTTTATGACATCTACTGAAATAATTATATGGATTCGGCCTTTATTGTAATTAATGATCTTTTAAAGTGCCGTTAAATTCATCTGGCAAGTATTTTGTTGAGAACTGTTGCATCTATTTTCATCAGAGATAACCGGAATGTAGGTTTTTTGGGGTCTTTTTGTTCCTTCAGTATCAGGGATCAAACTTGGGACTTTGAATTTGTTAGGCAAGTGCTTTGGCTGCTGAACTATATCCCTGGACCCCGGGATGTACTTTTCTTTGTTGCTGTCTTTATTTAATTCTGGTGTCAGGGTAAAGTCACTTTGAAAAATTAAGAAGTCTTCAATACATTTGGAAGACATTAATAGTACTTCCTTTTAAATGTTTAGTAAAATTCAGCAATAAAGGCAGTTCTAGACATTTTTTGATATAGGTGACTTTTTATTACTGATTCAAATCTTGTTTTCAGTCTTAGATTTCCTATTGTCCTTGTAATTCTATTTTGTTAGGTTTTATGTGTCTAGAAATGTATCCATTTCTTCTAGGCTATTCACTTTGTTAGCATAAAACTTTTCACCATATCTTATCTTTTGTATTTTTGTTGTGTTAGCTGTAATATTACCTTTTCCATTTGATGCATTTTTTTCAGTCTAGCTAAGGTTTCTTAATCTTTAAAAAAAATCAACTGTGCTCATCATCATTAACTAATACAAATGAAAATTAACACAATGGGATATCTTCTTACAACTGTTAGAATGATTTTTATAAAAAAGATGAAAGCTATATGACTCTTTCTCATAGATCACTGGGGGTAATATATGGTAGTACTCCATTCTGGAAAACAGGACGTTCCTAAAAAAACTGAAAACTAAACTACCATATAATGTAGTAATTTCAGTTCTGTATACTATACATATATGTATAGTGTATATATACATTAAAAATCCCCTTTTTAGTTAGTTCCTTTTCTAAAAGGAACTAAAATATAAAAAGGAATTAAAATCAATAAATAAGTTGATTGCAGCATTATTCATAACTACAATATAGAAACAACCTAAACAACAATCAGGAATGAGTGGAAAAAGAAGTTTAGAACAGGCTAAAAAAGCATGCACAATGAAACAGTTTAAAAAGGGAGAACTGATATTATTTATGACTCAGGGATGAATTTGGAGGATACCATACTAAATGAAAAAAGCAAGCACAAAAAGGAAACAAATGACACATAATCTCATTATGTAGAATCAAGTAAAAAGTCTTTCTACTTGACTGTGGGCACAAGAATTCCAAGCACAATAATCAGAAGGAAACAATGGAAAGAAAGGGATTGGAATTGCTGAATAAAGGGAAAAAAGGGAAAGGAGTTCTAGATAAGACAGGAAGAATGGGTTTTAAGATCTGTTGTACAAGAGGGGTGAACATGGTCAAGGATAAAGTACTGCCTGCACTAAAATAAAAGTAAATTTCAAATTTCAACAAAATGACAATAAATGTTTATAACCTTTATTTAATCATACATTACTAATGCATATCAGAGTATCACACTGTGATATACTGAACTTTATACAAATATGACTAATTAAGAAAAAAAATTTTATGTATTTAGTACAGGGTCTACAGGGTCTCACTACGCAGATCAGACTCAGTGATCCTCCTGTTTTCAGCTTCCCAAGCATTGGTATTACAGGTACGCACCACCATAACCAGTCTCTGTCTCAGTGCACCCCGGGGGCAGTTCTGGCATGGCACACTGGGGATCAAACCCCAGTTCCTGTGCCTGCCTAAGCAGGCACTTTAGTCTGCTGAACTATCTGGCTGGTCCAAGAAAATTTTTAAATTATTTCAAAACTGGATGTTACCATATGGTAACATAGAGAGTCTTCTATCTCACTAAGAGAACTGACATAAGCATATGGTAGGCCAGTTATAGCTTCAGGGTTCTTTAGTGTGATGATCATTGTAGGTTTCCTGAAGAAAATCTATAAACTATGCTTCCAATAAGATGGTAGAGCAGTAAACAGCAACAAATTAGCCTAAGATTCAGAACTCAGACACCAGAAAATAACAACTAGGGGACGGAAAGGACAGAAGTGGATTCCTGTAACCCAGATGTACAATAAACACACAGACTACTACTATATTATAGATTTTTGTTCCTTTTGAACATAAAGCAGTTTATGGGCTACATACTTTTTGTTTTTGGAACCAGAGTCTCATTATGTAGTTCAGGCTGACCTTGAACTCACTATCTACATCAGGCTGACCCCAAACTTTGGAGCGATCCTCCTGTCCTTGCCTCTTAGAATGCTGGGATTTCAGGCGTGTGTCAGCACAAATGGCTGAGTGTTGTGTGCCTTTATTGGAGTAAATTTAAATGACCTTACTCTGGCATATAAGTACTTTGGTACTTACTGATTTCCAATTATATTTAGCATATAGTTGGAATTTAACAAAATGAAAACAAGATAAAAAGTTTCTCTAGGAGCTTTTTGGAGAGAGGATGTAACAGGATTTCAACTCACGATCTAGTGTCAACAGCTATATCCCCACCAAAATAAAAGTTTTTTAAAAATGATAAAACTAAAACCACTTTAAAAATCTTTGGCATAGGGGCCAGGGAGATGGCTCAGTGGAATAAGCGCTATCCCTGGCAAGCGCACGGGCCTGAGTTCAATACCCGGTTCCGCAAAAAAAAAAAAAAAAAGAAAGAAAAAGAAACAAACAAAAAAAATCTTTGGCATTTTTTTTTTTTTTTTTACATAGGTAGAAAACAGTCCCAAGATCAGCAGGAATGAAAAGTACGCCTTTAATTAAACAGTACATCCCAGTACTTACATCTGTTTGTGTTACTTCACCATAGCTTTTTCCACAACTCCACTTCAGCTTTCTGGAGCCCACTGGATCAGCCCATGTATAAAACACTGCTTTTCCGGGAGGAAGAGAGTCTTCTATCTCACTAAGAGAGCTGACATAAGCAGCAAAAATATGCATTAAATTAAATGCAACAGGGTATTTTTTAAAAATCCAAAATACTTCACTAATTCTTCATTATGAGATTTGTAGAAGTTCTGATTAAGACTAAAATTCCCTTATATAATACCAAAAAAATCCTTTAAGAAAATGAGAATATTTTGAAGAAAATATGAGTTTCACTTAGGACACGAAGATCTTCAAGTCTATGAAGGTAATTCATCAATTATTGTTTCTATTCAAATTAGGAAAAAAAATGTTTTTCAATGAAAGACTGAGAAGCAGTTAAGTGTCCTCTGGCATTTGGGAGAGAACTGTATATGGATCTGCCACTATAGGATGGATTGGAGTGACAGGCTTGTTAATGAGGCAGAGGTCTTGTGCCATCCAATATTTTCCTGAGGGTTTTTATTATGCGGAGGATGAGAGTCTTGCGGGGAGGGGGCTGACAAGGCTTCAGAAGGCCGTATTTGAGAAACTTGCCCATGAGGGGCTGGAAGCCTTTACATGCTCTTTCTTGATTAGATACTGTTTTGAGTTAGGAAATCTGCTAGAGTCTTTTAGTCTTACAATTCTGGGTGATATATATGGGCCAGAGCCTGATGATCACCCCTCCCCTTTTCTGCTTTCCAGCATGCCCTTCTAACATGATGTTTCTGCTTTGCAGCCAGTTGACCTTGCACTGAACTCCCTAATACCAACTCAAATGAAATGTCTCCTGTAAGTTGTAGATGCTGAAGACTGTCTTTAAGCAATGAAAAAGCTGCCTAAGATAGTCTGGAATTATAGTAACATAAAGTTACATATGACATTACAGCAAAGAACTGATGTTAAGTGTAGTCCTAGCCAAGGAGATAGCTCAGTGGCATAAACACCTGCTTGGCAAGTGCAAGGTCCTAGGTTCGATCTCCTGTACTGGGGAAAAAAAAAAAAAAAAAAAAAAAAAAAAAAAGGTCCTAAAACATCACTTAATTATGGTCTTTACAAAGCAGTTGGTTTCCACATGCCTCTGCAAGAAGAGGATATTTACTATTTGAGAAAAATCTGAAATTTATATTTACTAAAAATATTTAAAATTTTTTAAACAGACAAAATTAAGACTCAAGATACACCTAGACATATTTCTCATAGAATTTGAACAATGAGCATCAAGCTTTTTTGCCACAATTGCTTTAGTTCTTCCATGTTTCACTCTCTGAAGAGCTTAAAAGTAAAATACCAGTATCAAGGCAGTTTTACCATTATTTACACTTGATTATGATCAGTTTCTTTTTCTTTTTTTTTATTTTTAGGGCAGGGTCTACAGGTTGCTCAGGGTCTCACTAATAGATCGGACTCATAGTGATCCACCTGTTTACAGCCTTCCAAGAGCTGGAATTACAGGCGTGCGACACCACGCCCCATCTCAATTGCTGTCTTGGCGGGCCCTGGGGGCCGGGCTGGCATGGCAGGCCCGGGTATTGAACCCACAGTCCCCTGCACCTGCTTGCAAGTGCTTTAATCTCCTGAGCTATTTGGCCAGCCCGATTATAATCAGTTTAAACTAAAAAATTATAGTGCATGTCCCATCACCTGGGGTCTGCTAAAGAGTCTGGTAGTTACTATATTTGTGATCATTTTCTTACCTTTGTTTGTACTGAACAAGGTCATTACTTGTGTGATTTATTAATAGGAATGGTGCTGCTCCATCATGATAATCTGAAAATGTAATAACTGTAGAATGTTCAGCTAAATTAACTTCTGCTATAATACCTCCAAGCTAAAAGAAAGGAAAACATTCTTTAAAGTGATCATCCTGTCAAGAATATTAACTAAAAACTTTAATAAAAAATTATTCACAATGTTGTAACTTAATTTTGGGGGGTGATTCAAGAAAAAACTAAGAATTTTATAATGCATTTCTGGGAAACCATGAATTTCTACTTTATACAGAACACTGAAAATTCCAGATGTGGTATATTCTTGTATGCCAGGTACTCCAATTAACTTCCTATATAAATTTTATTTTTGTTTCCTCTTAGTACCTTTCCCTTTTGTAAAGAGAAATATACGTTCACTTTCAATGAAAAGGGAAAAAATACCATGTGTTATTTATGTGATACAAAATAGTTAAATATAATAAAGGAATTATATATAAATAGTTTTTCTAGTGAAACATGCAAAAATATTTACTTACCTCATCATTCAGATGCAATAAAACACAATTTTCTTGCTTGTTAAAATATATCCTTTTGGGAGGACCTTCATTGTTTTCAACTTGAATAAGAAGTTTATTGGAAGCATCCTCAGGCCAAAAGGGGATACACTAAAATACATATTACATATATTTATAAAAATAAAGTACAATTTATCATAAATACTTTTATCATTTTAATAAAAATCACAATAGTAGTAAACTAAAAAACCTTTCCCAGCACTGCTTTGGTTACTGAGTTGATTAGGTAAACAGTTATCAATTGTCAACAGAAAGAACATTGTAAATAAAGGCAATGGGTAGAAACAGAAGAGCTACAATAATGAGAACACTCAGAAGGACTCATATAGTTTAAGCCTTATACAGAAGGGTTGATAATTCAGCAAGTAAACTGAGACAAGAACTAGAGCACAGGTGATCAATGTAAAGCAAGGATAAATCCAGTCACTATAAATAAAAATCATGTGTGGGCATGATTTGGTAATTAAGTTAAAATATGCACCAAGTGATGAGTCTAGACATGTATTAAATTTAGTATCCAAGTCATCAAATAAGAGAGAAATGGTAAAAGAAGAAACTAAAGTTCGGAGAAAGAAGTTTAGAATCTTTTTTTTTTATTTTTTTTATTTTAGGGAAGGGTCTACAGGTTGTTCAGGGTCTCATTACTAGATTGAAGTCATAGTGATCTGCCTGTTTACAGTCTGCCAAGAGCTGGGATTATAGGTGTGGGCAACCATCCCAATCTCAACTGCCATCTCAGCACGCCCTGGGGGTGGGGCCAGCAGGGCAGGCCCAGGATCAAAGCCCAGGCCCCTGCGCCTGCTTGCAGGTGCTTTAATCCACTGAGCTGTTTGGCCAGCTGGAAGTTTAGAATCTTTAAGAAACAACTTGAGTACTGGGGAGACAGCTTAGTGGCATAAGCACTTACCTAGCAAGTGCAAGGTCCTGAGTTTGATCCTCTGTACAAAGAAATAAAAAAAAAAAGAAAACCAAACCAAACCAAACCTGGACAACAGCGGTCTGGAAAACAGACTAAAGGAATAGGAGACCTCCAAGGCACCAGAAAGACTGAGGAGCTGCATACAAAGAGAGAGATCAACTACAGAATAAACAATGGAGAAGCAACCTTGTCTGTAAACTACGAAGTCAACTCCTTCTTAGGCCCTGACCAGACTGATGACCTCATAGTTTTCAGTGAGACTCTGTGATACCTAATCGTTATCATATACAGCTGAGAATGATCTGCAGCAGCAAATGGTTGTTAGAGGTAAGTATGTTAGTATGCTAAAGGCAGGGTTTTTGTTGTTGCTGTTGTTGTTGTAGGGGCAGGAATCAAACTCAGGACCTTGTATTTGCTGCTGAACTAAATCCCCGGTCCTAGAAGCAGTTTTATTCAACCATAAAATGGAACTAGACATAGCACAACATTAATAATTGACCACAATTAGAACAGAGGAATGAATTCCTCCATTCAAGAATTCTGAAAGGAATTGACCCGGTATAGTTACAATCAAAGCAATACTAATCCAACATATTTCCCATGAGAAATCAAGAGGACTGAATATGATGTACACTCTAAACATCCCTTTGATAGCACTGGCTTTGTGCTATATCTTTTATGATTAACAATGTATACCGTCATTTTTAAATGTTATATGCAAGACTTCTAAGACATAAGTACTAAGATTTTTGTCTTTTGTAGTGGGAAAACAGAGCTGTAAGTTTTACAAATCAAGAGAGGTAACACTTATGGGTATGTATTGTCTTTTGTAGTGGGAAAACAGAGCTGTAAGTTTTACAAATCAAGAGAGGTAACACTTATGGGTATGTATCTTAAGGTTGAGCACTGTATGTCAATATAAAAATTTTAAACTAGCAAAAGAAAATTTATCTTAAGCTGAAATAGAAAACAAAACAGCCAAAGAGAAAGTAAAATTTTAAAAAGCTGTCATGCATCTGTAATTGCGCAATGGAAATATGAACGGCTGAAAGTCTATAGACTGTTTTTAAAAGATAAGACCCAAATACCTGTGAGAAACAAATCAAGATAAAAGCTGTAAGTATCAAAAATATGTGAAGTACATATAAGGCAAAGAAAAACTAGAGCTGTGATCTCAGCATCTACATGTAGAAAGGATAAAGGATAGTGAAAACTTTGGAGACACTGTATTTCTACTTTCAGTGTTCAGTACTTTCCTAGTCTTAGTTCCTCCCACTGTCCTCCTATATGCCCCAGGTTCATAAAATTGCTGGAGGCAACCCCATGTCTGTGCTAGTCTACCTGACCCTTGGCTGGTATCATTAGAAGAGAAAATGTACAGGAGGTACTGGGTGTTTTCTGTGAGTTAGCCTGATATTTATACTACTCAAAATAAAAAAAGGCTTAACTTGTTTTAAATTTGTCCAAATGGCTCCTTATTTGTGTCACCTTGGCTCTGTCCATGCTGCTGAACTCTTCACTCTTTCATTTCCCTCAAGTCTTTGTTCACACATGACTTCGGTAAGACCTATCCTGATCATTTTGCTAAAAAATATAGCCTACTCCTTGCTCTGCAGAACTCTCAATATCCTTAATCTCGCCTGCTTACTGCTTCCTCCATTAGATTTCCCACCTATAAATGCACTATATATTTTACTACTCCATTGCTTTCTCTGGCTTCCATTTTTTTATTGAAAAGTATGCAGTGATTCCACCATTACTTTGGGAGTGGCTTTTTTCTCCGGCTACTTTAAAAAATTAAAAGTTCACCGAATTCAAAGCTATGTAAGGACAAAACTTTGTCATTCTGTTAACAGATACACTGCAAAATGCACAAAAAGCCCACAATACTCACTAAAAAGTGAAAAATGCAGAAACTTCTGGAAATGAGAAATGTAATTATTCAAATAAAAACAGAAATCAGTTGCAGTCTTAAACAGCAGGCTAAACAAGGAAAAGGTTAAATAAAAGATACACATATAAAATTTATACAGAATGCAACGAAGAGGGTTATGTAGATGGAAAACATAAAATGAGATAGTAAGATACAGGAGAATATAAATAGCATGTCTAACTAAAAATCGAGGAGAAAATGGAAAAACAAAAGTGAAGCAGTATCTAAAGAGACAACAGTGGTAAGTTTTACAGAAAATATGCAGGATATTAATTCACAAATATAGGAGCAAACTATCTCAAGTAGGATAAATATCAAGTAACCTACATACAGATACATAATGATGTGACTAGAAACATCAAAGACACTGAGAAGCTTTCGAAGTAGGAAGAGAAAAAAGAAAGCCACTCGCATGTAATCTCTGCATACTTTTCAATGAAACAATGGAAGCCAGAGAAAGGAGTATATGCCAAATGTTGAAAATAATATCCACCTAAAACTCATATCAAGAAAAACTATCATAAAAGACAGTGATAAAAGCTTTGTAGATAAACACAAACTCATATTTACCTTCAAAATCAGCCCTAAAGGAAATTCTAAAAATTTAAGGAAAATGTTCCCATGAGGATAGTTTTATGTACCAGAAAGAACTGTGAATAAAAATGGCAAAACACATCTTTTACATTGAGAATAAAATTACTTCAAAAGTGAAATATTCTATCAACTTCAGGATTCTTTTTTTTTGCCTGGCTCAAGCTGCCTTAGGGACAGGTCTGGTGAGGCATGTGGAGCTGGGGATCCAACCGCGGTCCCCTGCTCCTGACTGAGTTTGCCCAAGCAGGTGCTTTAAACAACTGAGCTAATTTGCAAGCCCCCAGCTATCAACTTCAATCATGCAGAAAACTTAACCAGAGATATGACAGCTGATGATGATCTACAATTAAAATTTCATTCTAATCATCTACAAGTAAAATTTTAGTCCTACTTTTCCAAATAAACTTAAGCAAAGTTTGTCTTTCTTACTCTGAGGGAATTCCTAACAGCTTCTTGGAGAAAATAAGCCATTTTTCTACATTCTGACCTATTTACACCTTATATATCCTTTTACCAAACTGGTTAGAAATTGTTAAACATCTATCTGGTTCTAAGATCCTAGAGGACAAGGTCCAGTTTTTAATAATTAAGTATCTGTAACCTATCACATAAACTCAATAAAGGTTCATAGAACTGAAACAAAACTAGGGTTGGGGAAAGTTAAAAGATTGTGTGGTCTTTTAGGGCATGTAATTTTAAAGAGAAAGAGCCCAAAGAGGTATATTTTTGAAATTCATGTACTCACCTTCTCCAAATCAAGAGAAAGCCATTTATTAAGTCCCTCTTCAGCCACTGATATATGATATTTGCTTTTGTTTTTAATCATATAAAAAGGAGTAAATGTCACAATTCTTGTAATGTTGAAACTACTGAGGTCTATAGTGACACCAACCTATGGAAAAAATTAATAGTTGAAAAACTTTTATATTATGCTACTGTCTTTATAAAAATAATCAATAGACTTTAAATAAAAGTTTCTTGAACACAGAATAAACTCACTTGATAATCCATTTGTGGGCCTTTACATTTAACGGCTCCATGACTACCAACAGTGTCAATTGAAAATTGATCTGACAATTCACTATCAGTTACCATAAGCTGAACCTAGGAAAATGTTTGAAATATATTACAATTTAGGTATCTTTAAAAATTCTTACGTTGATAAATTTTCTTTCCATCTTGAACTGAATATTATGTTAACATAGTAAACCTTTACAAATATTAAGTGCTAATGTTTAACCTCAAATATTTAATAGATATTATTTCTCCCTAACTTAATTTTATTCTTTAGAACTCTAAAACTGAAAAAATGTGACAAATAGCTAGAGAGTGAAACTTAGAAAAAAAAAAGTTACATACCTTATTGTTATTAAAAAAGTGACTTGGCTGAAAAGAAAAGAGAACTGGCTTTTTATAATTAGGTGGATGCTTTCGATGAATTCCATCTGCTTTGTACTGTAACATTCGACCAGTTTTATTGACCATCCAATATGGACTATGAAATGCCACCACAGTCTGACCAGTATTGTAAGTCATGTGGATGGCAATATCTAAGTCAGTCTTTTCCATTTCTGTAACACAGGTAAAAGTGATGAAACTAATGTCTTCTTGATTAGATCTTATGCGATATTCACCTTTCCAATCATGATTAAGATAATCAAGTAATTTTAAATGTAGTCTGGCTTTGTCCATTTGTACAGCACAAATCTGGGCTGACTGCCCTTCATTCAGAGTAAAAACTGTATTTTCAATCCCCTGTAATAAAAAACAAATTTTAAAATGTCTTGGAGTAAAGTAAACTGGGCTAAGTAACTTATTTTATAGGACTCTGTGAAGATTTAGTAACATAATGTAAAACTTCCCTGGAAATTAAATACATAAAGCTGTATAATTAGTAAAATTTACCAATCCCAAACCTAATCTCATCTATTGTGAATTGTAGTTTTGAAAACAAAAATAATGAAAAATATAGGAGAAAACGGATGGTAATCCAACAACAAAAAAATCATTATAGAGCATGCGATGCTTTTATAGAATTAAGACTAAAAAATGATAAAAAGTATAAAGTATTTTTTTTTTGCTTAAATATAGTACTTGAATGTCATTTCAATACTGATTTTTATTCTTGTTTCAAGTTACTGAACACATATATGAAATACACCTACATGAAAAGAACTGAAAACATATCTCCCAGAACAGGTAATATCTTCAGATGGTGATTATAGGCAATTTTACTACCTAGTTTCTACTTATTTTACTTTTTGGAGGAACCGGGGATTGAACTCAGGACCTTGAGCATGCCAGGAAAGTGCTCATTCTACTGAGCTATCTCTCGGAAAACTATGTATGATTTACAATAGGGGTAGTTTAAGTAAATTATGGTTTTCTTATTTGAAGAAAAATTATACTATTGTTAAAGTTTACTTATTTACTTATTTATATATTGGAAGCGGGGATTGAACTCAGGCCCTTGTGCTTGCCAGGGAAGCGCTTATTCTACTGAGCCATCTCCCCAGGCCTTTCCAAAAACATGGAACACTGCACGAATTTGTGTGTCACCCTTGCGCAGGGGCCATACTTATCTTCTCTGTATTGTTCCAATTTTAGTATATCTGCTGCCAAAGCGAGCACTACATATTTTAAAGAACTATGTTTATATTATAATATGCAATATATAATTTGCATTTAGTTTAGCAATCAGATTTCCAAGGTAAATTAGTAGAAAACATCTTTTAAATATTTTATACATGATTAAAACATTTCTATTAGAAGAGTATCTGTATAGTACTTGTTATTTTTATTAGTACTATTGCCTATGTTACTTCAAAACTTTTTCACTGATCATAATTTTAAGTAATTCAAACTACAGGGCTGGGGAGAGCACCTAGCTTCTAAGCACAAGGTTCTGAGTTCCAATCCCAGAGCCCAGGGTGCCATGAGTCCTGGAACTGGGTGTGGTGGTACATGCCTGTAATCCTAGCATGTGGGAGGTTGAGAAAGGATTGCTATGAGTTTGAGATCAGCATGGGGGCTACAAAAGTGGGCACAAGGTCAGCTCGAACTTCATGGCAAGACGCTATCTCAAAAACAAAAAACAAAACCCCCCTACAAATTCAAAATCAGGATCATCTCTCTCATCTCCTCTACCCTCTCCCTGCTACCCCCAAATTCCAGAATACCTCTAGATAATAAGCAATTTTGTAAGGAAGAAGATTCTGGAGTAGGATTGGTGGCCATAAGTGCATTATGTATGGTAGGTCCCAACCATCTTCTGAATATACTGATAGAGATGTCAAATTATCTTTTTCAGGAACAATATTAATAATAAATGATTTCTTAGAAGGGTTTACAGATCTACATTTCTTCTTTAGAACAACTTGATCATTTTTTATAATTTCTTCAAAGTCAGTTCCTTCACACAGCTGATAGTCCTCATCTTCTGGCTTCAGAAAAAGAAATGATCTACATAAAGAATAAGTGATACACTTCAAAATACTTTCAAAGAAAACATATTACATGGTTACAGCTTTAGAATAAAATTATTTCCATAACTAACACATTTTACATTTTCATATACTTCTTAGAACTAGATAAGTATCATTTCAACTTTCAAGAAACTTATGAAATTATTTGGGTGTATTTTTATCACCAACTTACTATTTTTAAAAGTACTTTGACAAGATAATAACTGGTTTTTTACAATACACAATCATATATTCAAGACAAACCACTAACAACAATCATTGAACTAAAAGAAATTGGCTTTTAAGGAATGTGGTCCTAACCAGAAGTAAATCTAATAATAAAGTTGACCTTATGAAATTAATACAATTTTAAAAAATTTTTCTATTATAATTATCTGCTATTCAAAGTAAACAAATGAGTACTTCAATGGACAATGTCATATGGAGCATAAATGCAGAATGACAAGATGTAATAAAATCATCAGATATCACATTGTTAGTCTTGATGTTTGAACATCACATTTTTCATTTACATTAACAGTGTTTTTAGGAGCAATAATTTTCATAAAATTTATAAAAGCAGGAGAAAATGAGGGAAGGGCTAATTTAAATGCAAACTGTTTCAAATTTCATTGTTCAGTGAGTACAGTATGTATTTCATGCTGTGCTACAATGAAATCCCTATTTCTTCATAGTCTGATATAAACTCTATGCTTTCTTGCCTCCTTTGTTCATATAATCCCTTTCATTTAAGAATGTTCTTCCACTCCAGTCTCAACAATACTGTATTTTACCTTGAGTTCCTGTAGCTTCACTAGGAGTCACTCATCAATCCTTTGTTTCCCAAAGTTTCCTGTAACTATAACGCTTTCTATAACACTTTCTATAACTGTCTGCAACTAAAGTTTCCAATCTTAAGTACATGATTACATAATATACCAACCTCTCAGTGTTAATGGTCACATTCAATCCATTTTTGCATCTATTGTGTTTTACCCACAAAATACTTGGTATTTGTTAGTTAAAATTAAACTTAGGAATCAGTATATTCAAGTGCTGTAGACAAAAGTAATGATTTGTCTATTTGTAAACTTTATGCCTCATGTCTTAAATATTTAAATGAACCTACATCTAAGTAGTGAATTAAAAGCACCTGCATTATTAAAACAGCAAACTGGTTGCTACTAGTAATAACAAGATAGACTAAACTATTATGTAGTAAGTTACTATTTAGTCTTGAATAAAAGACCATAAAAATACTAATATCTGAAATATGGCCAGAATCATAGGGTATATAGCAGAAATTTATTAAAAAAGCAGAATGACATTAACTATTACATAAGAACAAAATGAATTTAAAGCTCTGTACTGAAAATTTTAAATATATCTTTAATGTCTTCCAGTCTTGTAACCATCCCAATCTTTTCTAGAAGGAGTTGGATATTGTAAATAATTATTTTTGTTACTATTTTCTCATTTCATTCCCTCAGCATATTTGAAACAAGCAGTAAAACAAATGGTGTTTCTAGATCTATGTGAAAGTATATGCCCAAACATGCGAGACTTCCCCCCAACCCCAGGCAATACAAATCCTACACCAATCAATGTAAACGTTTTAGAGCTTTCAGTAACAAAGAACTGTGGCACATGTGCCAGATTTATTTGCCACCATAATCCAATACTAAACTTCTTGGCCTTAGTCATAATGAATAGAGCTACAGAATAATTAAGAACCACTTGCAACTTGGCCTTTTTATTTTTTCTGTAGCACTGGTGAAAGTGTTTATCTTTAGTATGTTTTGAAATAGTATTCAAAGAAATTATAAGGATTAATTTTAGGGAAGGTTTTATTCTCCAAGAGTTCAAGTTTTACAGAATAAATTTCAATCTCACATAAAATATCCTGAGCAATTTTATTTAACACATTATACTTAGAATTATAAGACTAATTCATAATTATTTTGTTAAATCTTTTCTCTAAAATATACCAACAAGGGGGTACAGCAAAATGGCGGAGTGCTAAGCAGCAGAGAAAGAACCTGATTCTTGCCATCCGGATGCTGGAATACAGCAACATAGGGAAATAAGGATGATGTAGGCAAGTTCCCAGACCCAGCAAGGAACTCTGGCACAAACTGAAGGCCACAGACAGGGTGAAGAGAGAAACTTCAATAAGGAAGGACACAGCTGGCAGCAATTTCTCCCTGAGATGGGAAAAACTGCATGACAGGAACGATCTAAACCTACCAACACACAGTGATTGCTGGTGATCTCAGAGGCCTCCAGGGAGACAAAGCAGTGGATGGGAGCAGTGGACTGGAAGGGCTGCACTAGCTGTGAAGGACTTCACAAGTTGCCAGTGAGTGCCAAGTATGAAGGGCTCAGCCATTCCCAATGGTTCTTTGGGAAAAATTAACACGGATTTGGGCCACTGTCTCCATATGTTGTTACAGGGACAAAACTGGAAATGGACTTTTTCACTGCACTCTCTTGGCTTATTTATTTTTTTCTTTTTTGATGTTGTTATAGTTTTGCTTTTTTTTTGTATTGTTTTCTTCTTTTTGTTTTGCTTTTTGAAATAGGGTGTACCAAATATTAATTTGGTACAGAATCTCACTATGGAGCTCAGACTCATAGTGATCCTCCTGTCTAGCCTCCCCAGCACTAGGATCGTGTGCCACCATGCCCAGTTTCAGTGGCTCGCATGGTATGAGATACCTGGGATCAAACTCAAGTCCTTGCACTTACCAGACAAGCACTTAGACTGCTGAGCTATCTCCCCAGACCCATGTTTTGCTCTTTTTCTCCTTCATTCTTTGAACTTGTGTTTATATGAGTGTCAACATGGATCTATCCTCTCTGTGATCATGTTTTGTTCAGTTTATCTTTTCCTTCTTCCTCTTCTTCTGTACCAGTTGCCCACAGTTAGTAAGATTCTCCTTTGGCTCCAGCTTTCTAATCTCTTTCTCTTCTTCCACTTCTCTACTTTCTCCCTAATCATTTTAAATTTTAACCCCTGAGGGCAAAATTGACCCACTAAGGATTTTTTTCCCATAATTTTATTGATAAACAAATAGCAATGAGACAGTTTCAAATCAAATTGGTAGGACAGTTTCAATAATTAACACATTGCATACATTCTTCCTAGTGGTTAATTGCTGTACAAGATGCAGACATGATAGCCTATTTACAAACACCATTAGAACAAATCACTCTATTCATTAAGAGCATGTAACTATGTATCTATCCTAACCACTTTGAATACACAGATACAAAATGGACATTTATCTGTATACCCTTTTTGTTGTTAAGTTCCATTATTTGAATATCATAGGTGTATAAACTGAGCAAAATATTCTAAAAGAGTCCAGTAGCCCATAATAGTATTGGGTCTTCCGCTTGACTGGCAATGTCAGAAATTGTTGACCAGAGTCCCTTACAGCTCAACATAACAGCATGGCTTTACTTCTTATATTTAGTTTTTATACTTTTCTGCTGAATGGTTAAGACCAAGGTAAAGCAGGACCTATGCAACAAGAGTTGTAGCTTTTGGGTCTGAGAAGGTCAGTGAAATCCCCTCAGGATTCATCCTGAGATCCCGTACCTCAGATTGTAGAACCTTTGTCGATGTCAGCCATGTGGATGAGTCACAGCCATTGCTTGGCCAATGTGCTCTCTGTGAAAGCCTGAGAGAATGTTTTCTCTCCATGTGACTCTCCTTAGGCACACTCTACATCATCGATCACTTTCCTCTTTGGCCCCATAATCTCCTTCATCAGAAAATTTGGGACACTACCGAGTGACATGACATTACAGTACAAGTTCTCATATGTCTTGAGTCTTAATTGACCTTGGAAGGCTAGGGCCAAAATGTTGGCTTTCCTTGCAGCCCTCCTTTTTCTCTAATTTTGGTCTGCAAACTTAGGTTGTTAACCATCCAGAAGACAAGCTTATTGTTATTACCATAAACTTAAGCTGTTAAGCTTAACCTCACTATGTCTGAATATCAAACATCTTAGGCATAACATGGAACAGGTATTTTTCATCAAGTATTGATATGTTGAACTTTAAGCCCTACAGAATATGATAAAAAACATTTAAAAATTAGAATATATTTTAAAAATAGACATAAAGAATTATATACTTCTTATGTTTACACATAAGTAGGATTTGTATAAGGCATGAAATTTTCTGGTTTGTTTTAGATTTTGATATATAAATGTAAATCTATTTCATATAGTTAAAGGTGGTAAATTAATGGTTATATCAGTTTGTCATTTTCTATGTGGTTTTTTTATGTTGTTATTGGTATCAATATAGCCAAAAGTGCCATAATTGTTGTGAACATCTGCTATAAACATTACCCCAGAAATTAAATTTTAAGAAAAAAAATAAAGAAAGAGAGAGAGAGAAAAAAAAAAGAAAATGAGAAAAATACAATACAACCTCAAACATCACCAGAGGAACACCCAGGGGACAATGAAGCTGGAAAATCTGAAAACCATCCACCTGGCCTCTCTGAAGTGATAACTGCAAAGCAAATGAATGAGGCTCTTAAAAAAAAAAATCAAATCAAAAATAAGCTCTAGTTACAGGAGTGGCATCCACAAAGAAAGCCATGCTTCATAGTGATTCTAGAGCAGATATAGATAAGAAAATAGAAGAGATTTTAAAAACTAGGGCAGCCATGAATGCTCAGCATAGGAAAGAAATGAAATCCATAAGGCATATTCAAGTAGGAGAATATAAATTCCATTAAAAATATTAACAGTCGATGAAGCCAATGTGAGGACAGAATCTCAGATATAGAATACAGGCTTTGAACTAGTGATCACAAAAAGAAAGATTTCCTAAAAATAGCAAGAGACTACAATGAACCAATTCAACATCCGTAAAATGATGCAAAGAACAATAACTTAAGATAAACTGGAAGCACTGAAAGGTAGAAGAAAGCACCAATTATATTAAAAAAGTGTTCACAAACCTCATGGTAGAAAACATCCCTGACAGAGAAAAACAGTTTGACACAGCTTAGTGAGACATACAGAACTCCAAATGGCCATGACCAAAAGAAATCTACAGCCTGGCATATCATACTCAAGATTCCAGAAATTCAACACAAGAATATTAAAAATTGTTAGGGAAAAAAAACAAATCACCTATAAGGGAAAGCTCATCAGAATCATAACTGATCTCTCAGCAAAAACCCTCAAGTGAAGGAGAGCTTGGAGCAAAATATTTCAAGCTCTATAGGAAAACAACTTTTAATATAGATTGACGTACCCAGCAAAACTATCTTTCAAATTCAATGGAGAGATAACACTTCCACGAAAAAGAACAACTGAAGAAATTTATGACCTCCAAACCAGCACTCCAAAATGTTTGAAGGACATTCTAGAAAGAGAAAACAAGAACTTTAGTATCATAAGCCCCAACAGAAGGAACCCACCAGGCAAGGCAAACAAGAAAATGGAGGGAGGGAGAAAAAAAGAGGGGGAGTCAAGAACAGAAAATAACTTGACAAGGATAAGTTATAAATGTCAAAGTTAATGGCCTCAATTCACCAATCAAAACACACAGGCAGAATGAATCAAAAAGCATGATCCAACGATATGCTGCATACAAGAAACATATTTAATTCTAAAAGAAATTCATATACTGAAAGTCAAAGGATGGAAAACAATACTCTATGCAACAGAACTCAGAAAAAGGAATAGTCTTTTTGCAGACAAAATTAAGTTCAAGTCAAGACTGATTAAGAAAGATAAAGAAGGTCACTATATCCTTGTAAAGGGAACAGTCGAAGAGTAAGAGAACAATCTTTAATATATATATATATATGCACACAATAAATATCAATGTACTCAACTATAAAACATATTAACAGACATGAAAAATAAAATAAGCATTAACACAATTGTATTGGGGGATTTCAATACTCTATTGTAACAAAAGACAGATCAACTAAACAAAAAGTCAACAATGAAGAGAAGTGAATTACACTTTTGAACAAACAGATATAGTAAATGTCTATAAAGTGTTCTACCCTATATCATAATACATTGTTCTCAATTGCACAATCGACATTCTCCAAAATAGACCACATACTAACCCCATGCTTAGGTAAATGCAAAGGAATTAAAATTATCCCATGTACATCACAAGACCATAGTGAAATAAAACTGAAAATCAATAGCAAAAGAAGCCACAAGAACTTCGTAAGTATCTGGAAATTAAATAGTATCCTTCAATACAACCTAAAGAAGAAATCAGACCATGCTACAATTAAATGACAATGAGAATGCAACATACCATAACTTATGGAACACTGTGAAGGCAGTCCTAAAAGGGAAATTTATAGCAGCAAATACCCATACCAGGGAAACAGAGCAAGCACAAATAACGTACTGTTGAACTGCAAACTTCTAGAAAAAGAGCAGGCTAAGACAAAATCTCATAGGAGGGAAGAAACAAAGATCAGAGCAGAAATCAATGCATTGGAGAATAAAACACAATACAAAGAATTAATGAATTCAGAGAGTAGGTTGTTTGAAAGATTAAATAAAATCGACAAATCCTTAGTCAATCTTATAAAAAAAAAGGAAAGAAAAGATTCAAATCCATGCAATTAGAAAGGGAAATAATAGACCCCACAGAAATACAGAAGATCATCTATATCTACTGTGAAAAATTGTATTCTAATAAGATAGAAAATGCACAAGAAATGGACAGATTGCTAGTTATATACAAATTACCAAAGTTGAATCAAGGAATTATACAAATCCTAAACACCAACAAAGCAAAGCAACACTGAGATTCTATCTCACCCTGAGATAAGAAATGGCTACCATTAAGAAATCAACCAATAAATGCTGAAGGGGCTGTGGGGAAAAAGGAAGTCTTCTCCATTGTTGATACAACCACTATAGAATCACTATGGAGACTCCTCAGAAAAACTAGGATTGAATGTTCCATTCAACCCAGCTATTCCCCTTCTGGATTATCTTCCCAAATAAATTAAAACCACAGCACAGTGATATATGTGCATCCATGTGCACAGAAGCACAGATGGTCATAGATAAGTCTTGGAAACAACCCAAATGCCCATCAATTAAGGAATGGATAAAAAAGATGTGGTCTTGTTATATAATGGAATTATTACTCAGCCATAAAGAAGGATCAGCTAAAGACTTCTATAGGTAAATGGATGCAACTTCAGACCATACTCGTAAGTGAAATGAACCAAACAAAAGGAAAATGTGTGTGTGTGTGTGTGTGTGTGTGTGTGAGAGAGAGAGAGAGAGAGAGAGAGAGAGAGAGAGTGTTAAAATAGCTATACTACTACTTTCAGCTTAGTGAAGAGTTTTGTGCTGATATTGTTTGGACAATTAAATGCTGATATCTCTTACTGTGAGTAAATTAACACAGCAATCTACAATGTATTATCCACTCTTACCCTTCTATCATATTGTTTTAGAATTTTGTTTTGTGTTTTTTTGCCTTTAAAATAAGAGTACAGGGCTGGGGAGACAGCTCAGCAGAATAAGTGCTTGCCTGGCAGGTGTGGGGTCCTGAGTTCAATTCCCAGTCCCACAAAAATCAATCAATCAATCAATCAATCAATCAATCAATCAGTACTGATTAGCTGAGGCAACAGCTCAGTGGTACAGCACCTGCCTGGTAAGTGCAAAGTCCAGAGTTCAATTCCTGGTACCGAATATCATGTAGATATATAAGAGTAATGCATTTATATTAAACTCTAGCCTTGAACAATTAACAGATATACATACAGACATAAAATACTTTGTGTTCTAAAAACATTTCAAAGAACTCTATTATAAAGCCTCTTAAAAGTAAAAAACTTATAACATAAAACCACGAAGTACCTGTCATATTTTCTTGGACATTTTTAAAAGTCATGAACATATATGCCAATGATTATGGTTAATACTGTAAGCATAACTAGTAAAAATCTGATTTACATGATATAAATATATTAAATAATATTTCTTTTTAAAAAGGCCCATCTAAACAATAAATGTATTTGTTACAAAATCATAAATAACTTACCTGGTATAAATTTAAAGCATATAAATGTATAAATTTATATTAAATAATATTTTTGAAAAAAGAAGTGTAATGAGATATTTAATAAGGTAAGTTTGATAATTTAAAGTCAAATATCCATATAAAATCTGAAAATAAAAATTCTAGGAAAGAGTATAGTGCAAACAAAAAGATAAAATCACCTGTAAGATGCTAATGGGATGTTGAATTCATTCTCAGGTGAAGCAATTCCCAATAAAGTGTCTCCTTCATAAACAGAAATTGGGACTGAAAAATGATTTCTAATCTAGGAAAAAAAATGACAGTGCACTTAATATTGTTAATAAAAAACCTACATACAATTTTAAAAAGTATTTTTTAAAATATCTTCACAAAAAATATGGAGTTCCATGTGTCTTAGTCACTTAAATTAGAAAAAATAAACATTTATCTTAAAATTTACATCAAATTTATCTTAAAAATTACATCAAAGTTTCCAGTTTTGTAGGAAAGCTAAGTTTAACTGTTACAGAAACTTGTAACTTGAAACATCTTAGAGGAGAGGAAGATAACCTTTTCTTTTTTCTTTCCCTCCCTGCCCTCCCTTCCGTCCTTCTCTTTATTTGGTGCAGGGCCTCGCTAAGCAGTTCAGACTTAAGAGTGATCCTCCTGTCTCAGCCTCTCCAGCGCTAGGATTACAGGAGTGTGCCACCAAGCCCGGTATAGGTGGCCAGCTCAGTGCAGGGCCGGCAAGGCATGTGGTACTGGTGACCAAACCAGGGTCCTTGTGCTTGCCAGGCAGGAGCTTAGACTGCTGAGCTATCTCCCTGGCCCTGATAACATCTTGACCTTAGGGAAGAGGTTAATTTGTTTAGAGACACACTTTTGTCTTGACAATAATAGAAAAAAATTCATAGAAAAAGCTGTATCAACATGTTAAATATTTATTTAATGAAAATGAAAAACATGTCACAGGCCAGAAAGTGTCTGTAATACATTTATTAAAAGATTTGTGCCCAGATACACACAAAAATCCTAATAATCTTTAAGTTGCAGTTTAAAGAAAAAGGCAAGTTATTTTAATCCCCAGGCCTGTTGTGCCAGCCCCACCCTTGAGGCACACTGAGAAGATGATTGAGACCAGGCGCAGTGGCACACGCCTGTAATCCCAGCACTTGGGAGGCTGTAAACAGGCAGATCAGTACAAGTCTGATCTATGCAGTGAGGCCCTGTAGACCCTGTCCTAAATACAAAAAAAAAAAAAAAAAAAAAAGAAAAGAAAGAAAGAGTCAATATAAACAAGTGATTTATGAATGGACAAAAAAGATAACTTACCTAGGAATCAAGAAAATACAAGTTAAAATAAGCATATACAGTAACTATGCATAATAATAGACTGGCATAATCAGAAGTCTTTCATTATTATTATTTTTTATTTATTTTTTGCAGTACCAGGGGATCAAACTCAGGACCTTGTGCTTGTCAGGCAAGCACTTATTCCACTCAGCTATCTCCCTGGCTCCTGAATCTTTCAATTTAACAGTTAAAAATGGTAAGAATAGCACACTCATATATTACCAAAAATGTAAACTTTTGAAAATAATTCAGAAAAAACAAGTAAAAATGGGAATTCACTTAGCAACACTGAGCAGTTATTCTTCCCTGTTACATATGGGTACCAAAAGTCAGTCAGCTTCACTGAAACACTGATTTTTTAAGAAAAAAAGAAAAACAATCTCATGAATAGTGGAATGATTTAAAAATTTTCTTAAAATTTCCTTGTTTATGTAATAGAATACTACAGCTGAAAACACAAATAGTATGTATCTTATGGACATACTTAAGAATTTTAAAGATACGAAAATAAATATAAATAAATGTCAAGTCACTAAAACACTTTTTTTCTAGGAAAGAGGAGAAAATGCAGGCTAAAGAAGCAAAATAGGTGACTTCAAATTTTCTTTTAAATCTGAAGGTACATTTTAAAATGTCAACATTTCTTATATTGCATAACATGCATAGAGGTCTACAGTATAAAAATTTCTCAAAATAAAATATTTAATTGAAAAATGTTTCTAAAGACACTATATCAAACCCGAAATCAGTGTTCAGGGAACTCAAACAACAGACATCAAGAATAAGTTCTACAAGGTTTTAAAAACATAAACATAATTTCAAATAAATTTTCTTTTCAATTTATCACTTACATAAACCTATGACCTCAAAATCATAGGCCAAGACCTCTTATGAAAACAAGTATAAAAATTTTAAACATGATTTTAGTAAATCAAATATAACAGTTTGATAATATTTCATGATCTCAAGTTTTTTAAATTTTTAACTGTTAAATTTGTGGTAGGATTTTTTGAACATACAATAAACTACAGATGTTTGACAAAGACACAATTATGAACAAAACAGTACAAACTTTAATAAAAAACAACAAATACTCAGAAAGGGAAATCTCAGAGCCAGTAATTACATTGCTGTAATACGACTGGGTGGGGGAATCCCATTCAATGGGGGAATTCCCATTTAATTTTATTAAATTTTAATTTAATAAAAATTAAAT